CCACTATAATGTATCAAGCTTAGTAACTAAGATGTATTTTAGTCTAAAACAACATGAAATTTTGAGCAGACTAAATACACACCCTACCTTGTTGAAATATTGGTTGAAAAGAAATAAATGGTGCCAAGATCATTAAAATGGCTGACAGTGCCACTAGTGGGACATTCTGAGCTTTTGATTGGTTATTCATGTCATATATAGAAGTAAGTGTATATAAGGGAGCGTTTTCAACAATGGAATGACGTGGGTGGGGTGTCACTGTGTTTGATTTATTACATGAGCAATATCTTAGCAAATTAAAAAGATAAGAGGCTCTTAATTTATATTCTAGCTTGTCAGTATCAGTAATTTGAGTTTATAATTGAAACAAAACCATATACTTAATTTGAACCAGTGCTGCATTCACCATGTGTCACACAAAAATCGATGTTTATCTGTTTTTTTTAAATACTTGCTTTTAAATTAAGAAATTGATTAATATATAGTACTAACATTTGAATTATAATCTACAGTTTTATACCAAAGTTATTGACATAAATTCATGAAATAGTATTTCAATAAAATTTTGAATGCAACTTAACAAACGAGATGACATGGCCTTTCACCCATGACCCGTCTCGCAGAGTTATAATATTACTTGATTGATTGACTGTCATAAGTCCGGGTGTAATTGTGGTAGTTCATTTCCCTTGATCTCTGCAAAAATGAGACTGATATTAATATACAGGCATAGCAAGTTGTTGCATGTGAAACAAAAGAGACAAAATAGTGGTGATATCAAAACAAAATAAAAAACTTCATTTTAACAAAATCTGTGGCTAGTATCTGTTAAATTGTGGTAGGGCTATTGCCAAGAAGGTAAGTTAAATGTAAATAAATGGGGAGAATAGTATAAAGCAGCATATACAATCACCAGGATAAAATACAAAAGTAGGACTACCACAGCAAGTCTAGAGGAACAAACTTGTTTCTTCAATAATTCTGATCCTAAAGCACCAACACTTTACTTACTATACACAGTCTCTCAGTAACTGACCAATCAGAAAACAATACTTGGAAAAATTATGTTGTAGGTATGACAAATACTGTAGAAGAGTAAGTATGTTGTATTTGTATATGACATAATGAATGAAATTATTTGGTAAACTGTGAAAATCTTTATTTTTTGTAGTTAATAAATGCAATTTTTTAAATCGTAGGTATTTTATTTTCAATAGTACATCATCTTGTTAATTATTTTTATTTTATTTTTAATAGCTGCTTGATGAATTGTAGTTTATGTTTATGTCTTATTTCACTGTTACAGTATATAAATGGAAATGCATCTTATTAAATGTAAAATTTTCTAATTGTCTCCTAAATATTGTGAATATTAGGTAAGATGAACTGTGAAATTGTTTAATTTTTGGTTCTGATTCATTCTGACATTAAATTTAATGGTTTGGATGATATATGTGTATTTTTTTTAATTCAGTTGTTAAATATCTCGTTCATTCAATTTGTATAGTAATTGATGCTGTTTTTTGCTTTATTCATAAAGCGTATATGGGAGCTGTAATGTATTTCTTTTAAAGAAAATGTGTTTAGTGTTAGTGAATGGATAACATGCATCTAAAGAGTTTCATTACATTCTTGTACTTGGCTTTAGTAAACTTGGTTGTTGGTACTGTTAAATAACTAAAGCTTCCTACATTGAATTTTAAAGACTTTATCAATTAATTTCTATTATTCTAAGTCCTGAAGTTTTTGTTTATTAGATCATTTTTTAAATGCTTAACTTTCAAACATTTATAATAACAGTAGAAAGACTATTAAAACTATTGGTTTGCTCGTATATGGTGCTTGTTGCTATACACCTTATTATACACCTTAATCACTTCAATCTAAACTCTAATATAAAAGACATTTCTAGAATTTTCTAAATCAGTGTGCTATAGACATTAGCTATATCTTAATCTGTAAAAGAAAAAATTAAATTTTATATTAATTTTGCTGTTTTGTTTTTAAGAGAATGAAACAGTTCTATAATATGTGCTCCAATGTAATTTTTATCATATTCTTGAGTTACTTATCACATGTTTTGTTTTAAATAAACAGAATGAAGACAAGCGCGCATTTGATAACCCAAATCCATTCGTACAAGGTGATGAAGAAGCAGATGTGGCTTCTGTAGCATACAGGCAAGTTTTCTAAAGAATTTTAAGACTCCCACCTAGAGGGGTTAGTACAATTTACAGTTTTGGGAAAGTAGGCTCATCATAAAATAGATTCTGACTAGTTTTTACTGTCTTTTTGAAAACTGTCTCTAAAGCAATAAAAACCAAGCAGAACATTTTTTTTTCCATTGTAATGGTTAGTAGCCCATATAGTCACTTACATCTAATTATAAATTAGTTACAGTTTTAAATTTTTTTATTACTAAATTGTTCCCCTAAATTTTATTATACTATTGTGTGTCTTGAAATTAATTTGTAGAATTAAGGTGCATTGATTCCTACAGATAAGGTATAAGTATCTGTAAATACATAACAGATTCAGGAAATGTTTTGCAAAAGAATAAATTGAACGTTAGCAGTAAAAAAAAACTTGAATGTGAAAGTATATAATAAATACAAAAATGTTTGTTTTTATACACTTAAGAAAACAAAAACAAAGAATATTATGGTATGTTTTTTGTTTAAGCTGCTTTTTGGTATTAAATATGTTTATCAAAGTTTGGCTATTCAAGCTGGAGAGAGAGAGAAACATCTACAAAAGCTGAAGAATCCTGATATATTGTAATGTTAATTCAGAATATAGACTCCTAGTGCATCCTCCAACAACTCTAGGTTACATATATTAGCAATAATTTTTAGTATAAAAATGCCTTATCTCACACTAACTTGTCCACATCCCTGTACAACCTGTCAACTTAGTAGCACCTGCATCCTCCAGAAACATGGTCAAGCAAGTATAAGCTTTTCAGAGTGACTGTGGTATGTAAATTTTGTCTGAGATAAGTGATTGGTGTTATGTCCTTTTACATCCTATTTACAAGAATGTTAACTAACTAAATACAGAACAAGTGCATGAAAATTTACTGAATATATCTGAATGAAGATATATATTCTTTTCCAGTTATGGAAGAGTGATATGGCAAATATCCTTGTATTCATTGACAGATGTTTGCTGATCAAAGCAAATTTTCACAATGTTGAAGCAAAACTGCCACTCACAAACAAGTACAAACTATGAAAAATATCAAAAATTTAACTTAAAATGTGTTTTTGTAATGCAGGTGTCCCTCAATTCTAGGTTTTAATCTTCTCAATTTTGCTCCTCCTTCCTAAATAAGTGGCTTTCCCTCCCTAGCACATACGCTGTTTCCAGACCTGCATAGTTATCTGATTACTTTAGATAACTCCATTAAATTAAATGGCAGTATGTGTCTGAAGATGCAACAAATCTTTGAACGGATTCTTTTTCATTCATTCTTTTTTCTATTATTATTATTTAAGTGTTGGTAGGTTTTATGTTTCAATGTTTTAGACAAATGGAATAGTTTGGAAATAAGCTGCTTGTGTCAAACTGTATTAACATATTAGCAGTGTTTTTTATAACAGTTCATATTTTTTGTTGATTTTTAGTTTTTACTTGACTAATTGACTTAACTTGAGCTGCCACCTCTACAAAAAGAAATCCTTTACAGAAAATTGAGAACTTGCTGTTCTAATGCCTTATGTTATCACTGTCAATATTGCACATAACTGTAATAAAAATTAGGGATAATAATAATGGATTATCTTATGTGTTCTTATTACATCATCTAGAAGGAACTAATCAGCAAGAAGGTGATAAGTAAAAAGCAAAGTAATAGATGATAAAACATTTAGTCAAGTTGACTGAAGGACTGTGTGAAATACATATCTGTTAGTTATAAGTATGGTTTCTTTTATAAAGAATGTAACAAATAACATGTAATTTACATGTATCTTTGAAATAAATTATGGATAGTATCTGAACAGTTATTTAAAGGTGAGTTTGAAGTACTTATACAATATATATACATATGTACGTTACTTACAGACATTTAAAGTTTCTATAACAATGTTTAATTTCAGAGCTGCTATTTAAAGGCCATTGTGGTGTCTACAAAAATATGATTTGTAAAGCTAAATTGCGAAGCATAATTAGTGACAGAGTTTGAAATGCCAAAGAACAAGATGTTTAAAAGTACAGGTCAAATATAAATTACATACATTAACATTTAAGAATTGATAGAGATGTGGTGTGTTGTACAGATGTAAATGGTCTTAATGCTATTTTGAAATCCAGATATCGCAAGTGGGATCTTGGAGACAACATAGAATTGGTAGTACGGTGTGAACATGATGCTGTGATGATAGGACCTAATGGAGAAGAACAGTTTATCAATATTAAGGCTCTGAATGAGTGGGATCCAAGAGTAAGCTTTTATTATGTAAATATGTAAAAGTAATGTATGTAACAACTTTTGCATAGAATCAATGATGGCAAGCATTGTAATTGTCACAGAAAACAAGTTATGTACCTTGTTGTGGATAAAGTTATGAAATACATTTTAAGATTTTTCTTTCCTTATTTTTTTCCCCTGATGGCTAGTTAACTCTCTTGCTATGTACTTTGTCAATTTCGTTGAGTTTGTGACTCCAAATTTACTTTTAGAGTTTCCATATTATAACTTCTAATATGTTTTGTGTACCTTCATGAAATTCTACAACCTTTCAGTAAACATTGTAAGTCTTTTGGTAAACAAAGATTCAGAATTTTTGATAAAGTATCTTTGCTAAAAATTTCTATGTTAATGTGTGGAGTCAGTGTTGTCTGCTTGGAGTGCAAAGTGATTTTCATGTTAAAATTAAAAATACTTTTCTTCATCTGAAAATTTTCAAATATCATTTGCATAATCTTTAAACCCTCCTAAATACATATCAAACATTTTTTTTTTCGATAAAAATTTATATTTTATCTGTTATTTTCTCTACCTGAACTTTTTTGGTCCATCTGTTTGACCAACCTCTTAACCATCATAAAATACAAAAATAAATCTAAATGACCCTTTTTTTTTTAGATTGACTTCATATTGTTACAGGAAATTGCACCTAAATAGTTTAAGGCTTATAACAGTATACATATGTTCTACTTAAGTTTTATTGCCCTTTGAATCGTGTCTAACTAATAATCCAGCCACACAAATTATAAATCACTTGGCAAACATGTAGATCACATTATCCTATCGAATTATATAATGGATGAGCTGCTCACGAGCATATCTTGTGAAAAAGT